AAAATTTTAACAATTTAGACTGTATGAAAGCTACATTGGTGTGATCCCTATACCCCATCTTATGCACAATTCTTATCGCTCTTTTTTGTAATATATACAATGGTTGAAGTGAGCTTGTATATGTATTTCCCCAGTTTTCCACGCCATACTCTAAGTATGGTAGAATCAATGAGGAATACAAAATGCGTAATGCTTTCCCATCCAAAATATATTTCACCCGTGTCAATATCGATATATTTTTTGCTATTTTGTGCTGAACATATCTGATATGAGATTTCCAGGAGAATTTGTCATCAACTATGACACCTAGAAATTTAATTTCATATACTCGTTCTATGTTAGCTCCCCCAATTTTCAATTGAAGTTCATTGTCTAGTCTGTGATTCCCAAATACCATAAATTTAGTTTGATCCAAATTCAGAGATAGTATATTACTGTCACACCATTTCTTTATCTTCTCAAGTTCCTGTGTAACCCATCCAGATAGTTGCTGTAGGTTTTCACCCGATGCCCATATGGTAGTGTCATCAGCAAACAAAACCACTTTCACTAAATCAGAAACCTTGCATATATCATTAATATATAGTATAAATAATTTAGGTCCCAAAACAGAACCCTGAGGCACTCCACACACAATGTCCAGCTCACTCGATTGGTATTCACCCAACTTCAAATATATGCAAATATGCCCACTCCCCACCACCACTGCTTCCCCTACATAGACCGGTAAACCCATTGTATCAGGATGAGGTGCAGGAGTGAAAACTGAAGAAATTTAATTTATGTTTGAGCCTCATTCACCCATTACATAACAATACTGTATAAAGGAGATATAAGTCGAATGTGTAAATGTATTTACAGATTGGCTGAGAGCTTGATAAACTGTCAGGGAGACTGGATTATTAGCAGCAGGCTGTTTGCATGCAGTTCAACTACTAATACTGTAGCGTTAGTTAGCCAAACATAGCATTTTAATTTACTGCTGATACTCCAGTGTGTCAACTACTGTCCCATAACATTCGACAGTATATCAGCATCTTTTCATTTTCTCACATGACAAGTATTTGGAGAGAGTGGATACATATACATTTATATAGCCACATTTACATCTCTAGTCTTTGCAATAAATTCATTTGGCTTCTTATCAAATCACCACTTCCTGCTTCTCATAAAGTTTTTCAAATAGCCAGTGTTACAAATAAAGTGTAATCTACAAAGTCAAAAATACTTGGAATACTTGTTTTTTCTTGGCAGTATGTGTATGCAGCTTAATATTTCTCCCTGTGTAAGTGCGAGTGACACTCAGTGAGGGGAAAGGGCTAGTGACAGACAGAGGCAGTGAACCAAAGCTCACCTTTGCACTCTGCTACACGGCCTCAGCAAGTCGCTGGCAGGCTGACACTCAGCTGACACTCAGCTGACACTCAGTTGACACTCAGCTGACAATCAGCTGACAGCACATTATAACTCACACTACCCTAAACAATGCAAGCCAGTGGGTTCTGACAAGAAATCATGTGGAATCACATCATATGTACACATTAGCCATTATTTATCCAGAGTGCCTTAGTACATGAATATCTGTTTGGATGGGTGGTCACACTGGCAATGAAATCCTTAATTCTGACCACAACATATAGTGGCAGTATTACAAAAAAGGTTAAAGTGATTGAAAATGTAATGCAGATTTCAGTCAGGTGAGATCCACAGACCATGATGTCTCACGAGTAAAATCTGAATATATATCAGAATCAGAATCAGAATCAGCTTTATTGAGGCTCTCAATATGTATGTACATATCCTTATGTACGGCAATAGCAAAGGGCATTAGGAAATGAGATAAAAATAAAGTACTTATAAATAGAGACCTGTACATACATATATATAACTTTGTTGGCCTCGGCTGTGTTCAAGTGCTTTATACAGTGCCTTGCGAAAGTATTCGGCCCCCTTGAACTTTGCGACCTTTTGCCACATTTCAGGCTTCAAACATAAAGATATAAAACTGTAATTTTTTGTGAAGAATCAACAACAAGTGGGACACAATCATGAAGTGGAACGAAATTTATTGGATATTTCAAACTTTTTTAACAAATAAAAAACTGAATAATTGGGCGTGCAAAATTATTCAGCCCCTTTACTTTCAGTGCAGCAAACTCTCTCCAGAAGTTCAGTGAGGATCTCTGAATGATCCAATGTTGACCTAAATGACTAATGATGATAAATAGAATCCACCTGTGTGTAATCAAGTCTCCGTATAAATGCACCTGCACTGTGATAGTCTCAGAGGTCCGTTTAAAGCGCAGAGAGCATCATGAAGAACAAGGAACACACCAGGCAGGTCCGAGATACTGTTGTGGAGAAGTTTAAAGCCGGATTTGGATACAAAAAGATTTCCCAAGCTTTAAACATCTCAAGGAGCACTGTGCAAGTGATAATATTGAAATGGAAGGAGTATCAGACCACTGCAAATCTACCAAGACCTGGCCGTCCCTCTAAACTTTCAGCTCATACAAGGAGAAGACTGATCAGAGATGCAGCCAAGAGGCCCATGATCACTCTGGATGAACTGCAGAGATCTACAGCTGAGGTGGGAGACTCTGTCCATAGGACAACAATCAGTCGTATACTGCACAAATCTGGCCTTTATGGAAGAGTGGCAAGAAGAAAGCCATTTCTTAAAGATATCCATAAAAAGTGTCGTTTAAAGTTTGCCACAAGCCACCTGGGAGACACACCAAACATGTGGAAGAAGGTGCTCTGGTCAGATGAAACCAAAATCGAACTTTTTGGCAACAATGCAAAACGTTATGTTTGGCGTAAAAGCAACACAGCTCATCACCCTGAACACACCATCCCCACTGTCAAGCATGGTGGTGGCAGCATCATGGTTTGGGGCTGCTTTTCTTCAGCAGGGACAGGGAAGATGGTTAAAATTGATGGGAAGATGGCTGGAGCCAAATACAGGACCATTCTGGATGGAAACCTGATGGAGTCTGCAAAAGACCTGAGACTGGGACGGAGATTTGTCTTCCCACAAGACAATGATCCAAAACATAAAGCAAAATCTACAATGGAATGGTTCACAAATAAACATATCCAGGTGTTAGAATGGCCAAGTCAAAGTCCAGACCTGAATCCAATTGAGAATCTGTGGAAAGAACTGAAAACTGCTGTTCACAAACGCTCTCTATCCAACCTCACTGAGCTCGAGCTGTTTTGCAAGGAGGAATGGGCAAAAATTTCCGTCTCTCGATGTGCAAAACTGATAGAGACATACCCCAAGTGACTTACAGCTGTAATCGCAGCAAAAGGTGGCGCTACAAAGTATTAACTTAAGGGGGCTGAATAATTTTGCACGGCCAATTTTTCAGTTTTTTATTTGTTAGAAAAGTTTGAAATATCCAATAAATTTCGTTCTACTTCATGATTGTGTCCCACTTGTTGTTGATTCTTCACAAAAAATTACAGTTTTATATCTTTATGTTTGAAGCCTGAAATGTGGCAAAAGGTCGCAAAGTTCAACGGGGCCGAATACTTTCGCAAGGCACTGTATATATATATGCTTGAAATATTTTTCAGAAAAATAAATTTTTCACATTCTTAACTTGTTTCTGTATTTTGACAGGCAGTGATTCATGGTGAATAAATTTATTTGATGGGGAACTGAAACACACAGTCTGACAGTCTCAGTGCCTTGGTCGACACATTCATTAACAGAACTAACATTTATGCAAGTGTGTTTCAAGTGCTTTATATCTTAAATCTGCTCTATTCTCATGGGTTCCCCCCTGGTTTTCAGTTCATTTCCACCTTCCCAAAGGATAAAGGAAACATCTGCCGGGGGCGGCTGTGATGATGAGTTAGAGTGGGTTGTCTCCTAACCAGATGATTAGCGGTTTGATTCCTGGCTTGGGCAGTCCATATGTCAAAATGTCCTTGAGCAAGACATTGAACCCCCACTTGCTCCCGGTGATAACACCAGTGTGTGAATGTGTTAATGGGTGAATGGCCAAATAGTGTGAAAGCACCTTGAGTGTGCTGTAAAGCATAGAAAAACGCTATACAATTATAAGACCATTTACCAAAAGAAGACAGTTTCCCCCTCTTACTAAATTTCTCAAATCTGTTCTTTATCTCTTGGTTTTCTTGTCCTTCCCACCCTCAGAGTGTGAGTTCTCAGGAAACGTTAAGTCACAGAAAGAGCTCAGTGTGTGTGCCGCGGGCTTTGGGCCAACTGTTCATCTTGTTGCAGTACCAGACGCTGGGCCAGCGCATCAAGGTGATGGTCCGCAAGGGTGAGAATCTGGCCAAGCTCACACGGATTCCAGGAGCTCCAGGTGAAGGCTGTGTAATGCCCCATAAAACAGTTTTTTAATCTGGTGCACCTAACAGCAGCTCCTCATACTAAAACTACAGAACAGGTTGCTACAGAACAGTGCCTTTGAAAATAATCCATGTGCCACCTTTATGCTTAATATTTAGGCAGCTAAACCTACTTGGATAAGGTTAGGAAAAATCATGGAGGTCACGGTTTAACCACTATCGATTGCTGGTAGGAGACAGGATATGGACAGCGGTCTGAATTTTTTTAAAGTCAGACATCTTGTACCAAAGCCACCATTCAGAATTAGTCCCTGACTGTTTTTCACTGGATCAACACCAGGCTACTTCTGCCTTTGTTTGTGAGAAAGAAAAATTACTTTTTTGTATCAACTCATTTGCTGGTTCACACAATTACAAGATTACCAGTAAAAGCAACAAAGATTTCTATAATTGATGCTGTAATTTTATTTCTCTCATAGGTTTGGGATCAGTTCCTGCTGTTGCAAATATATTATAGCCTACTGTAAAGAAAAAAGGTAAAATGGTAAAACATCTAGTACTGTGGTAGTAGTAAACGTTGGACAGGAATCAAACAGTGGACATTACAGTTATATGGCATGTGCCTTAACCATTAAGACATTAAGATCTCCCATGAGGTCTGTGTGATTAATGGCAGCAAGCAGAAGATGCAACAACGTTTACGTCCTGGATATTACTTTGCACTAGAGATGCACCAATTTTGCTGGCTGATTCGTATTTTTTTTTTGCGTGTGACTTTCCCATTCTGATATTCTTTTTTTCTAAGAACTGTAATTTTCAGCATACACAGACATTTTTGTAACTTCTCTTTAATGAAAAATTAAATTGTAATAAAATTAAAACATTGTATTGAATAAGATATACATTTTATGTATTTCTCTCATTTTCACAAATGTTTTTTTTTTACAAACCTCCAACTAAAAATAAAGTGCAATATTTGTACTTCTTTAAATGTAAACAGGTAATAAAAATACAAGAATGTTTGTTACACTACATCAGTCCCACTGAACATGCAGCTCTCTTTAAAGTGTGTGTATTTTGTTTTTATCATGGGCTTGATATACTGTAAAGATGTATTTGAAGTGTAGTCAGTATTTCCCTGTACTATTTGTTAGCGATATGGACATAGTTTTCCCTTCTCCAAGGTGTTTCTATAGGCTCCTCTGTGCACTTTTTGAGCCTCCAGTGCACAAGTGAATATGTGCTTGGTATAGACACCAGTGCAAGCCTAGCAGAGATGCATGTGAGATGCTATGTGCTTCATACGCTACCCTTTCAGTCTGTGACACTGTGTTCATGACGTGAACCATTGCGCATGTACCAGCACAGAATCAGATATCTCAGGGTGATCAGCCAGTCACCAGTCATGGCTGATCAATCTGAAAATTGGCTGATGAATTGGTGCATCTGTACTTTGTACTGCACGCTATGGAAACATTAGAATAACAAAATCAAGCACAAGATCTGTCTTTCGTGGTATTTTATTCTAAACCCTTCATGAAAGGGCTCAGTGCATACAGAAATCAGAGATCTCTCCAGGCAAAGAGCAAAGTCTGCACTCCCTATTTATAATTTTGTTATCTAAGTGTACTGTAGATACAACGTCCTTGCACACAGAACACTGTGCCTTGCATATGGTTTGCCATATCTGATATCAGGGCACCAAACAGAAGAAATCAACAGAAGCACACAGCCATCACAAACATGTAAATTCACTTCTTTCTCTGCTGTGCAGTTTGGACAATAGTTTAATATCATATATGAAAAGTGACTTTCAATTAATGTTTGACTTGATTTGTACATGATTTGATATCACATCTATCACACTTTTCAATTATAAGCATTAGTATACATAGGAGCACACACGAACATGCAGGCAGACATGTAAACTGCTGACACTGCCTCTGTCTGTATTCTTCTTTATTGCCCAGCCATAGTCAGACAGGCTGGTTTCCTGATGGTCTTCTAGTATAATCTGATTAGGAACCAATCAGCCCAGTCTCATTTCCCCTCCTGTCTGTATCACATCTCACTGCATCTGATTTAAAGCTCTGCTTTGATGATGCCAGTTAGGACAGGGGGAAGATAGAGCCTCTGAAAGAGGAAAACAATTTTGATGTTTTGGTTTCCAACATTTAAACTAACAATTTGTGGTCAAGTAGTCAGCTATGTGTTTTAGGTTCACATGCTTTCCTGAAATCTGTGAAAATACATTGCTCAGTGCAGATGCAGGATTCTTATCTGACTGTGACACACTGCTTTTAAGTTTAGGAAATCCAATTAGCATGATAGAATGTATTTACAAGGGAAATTACATTTTGTGTGTGATGAAGCAGACTAGGAACAGTGACAGTGGAAAGGAGTTCAGAGAGATTTATGAGGATGTGAATCAACATGTATAGAAGTGCAGAAAGAAACCAATTAATCTATGATGAATTAAAATATATAAAATAAAATCCTTCCTGATATTTTTTTCCCCAACAGATCATTATGTTGTTATCAACCTACGTCAGGAAGGAAAAATAATTGGCACCAAGGAGACCAAAGGGGCCAGTGGTTCAAACCCCATCTGGAATGCTCCATTCCTGTTTGACCTGCCCCCTGGTGACATCACTGAACTACCATTGGTCCTTGAATTCATTGTCATGCAGGTAAGAAGCTGTGCAATACACAATAATCAATGGCATTCTGTCTTCATGTACTGCTATAGTGGCAACCAAATGTCTTCATGCTTCTGTGATTTTCAGTTTCAGTTCTCTCTCTGCAGGGCCGTCTCTACACTAAGAGCACTGTGCTGGGTCATGTGTTGATTGGCAGAAATGCTTCAGACGCGGGACAGGCACACTGGAAGGAAATGTGCAGTCGGGGGCAAATAGAAACAGCTCGCTGGCACACCATCCAGTCAGATGTGCTGTAGGACTGACTTAGAGAATGTGGGATTGTGCCGCTGTCCCTTTACTGCCTAGTGAGTGTCCTAGAGGCGGTTTGAGGTAGAAATAACATATGATTGGGTTGCACACACATAGCTCCCCTGTTTTCAAAGTATTTATTACAGTCATTTTTTCCATGAGCAGATAATGTTCTTGAACTAATGCAGACACTTGGAGCATTAGTAGCTACTCCTTACATATCTACATGGGTTTTTTTTTTGCATCTATAGGGTTGTAGAGGGAGAAGCACTGATTGCTATATGAAGGAGGGTGTGAGGAGGGATGTGCAGCAGCTTTCTCCATATCAACACTTTTCTGCATCCCTGTATAGCCCTTGTGATTATTTTTACTGTCACTTCTTGAAACTGTAGTCTGTAAAAGTGTATTGTTCTGGATGTACTGTATGCAGTTTGTATGCTCATGTTGAGGTACTGTTTGTATTGTGCCCAGAGGTTACAAATATAACTACTTGTTGGATTCTACAGAACACAAATATATGTTGCCACTCTGTTGGTGGTTTGCAGTGGTTGTTACTGTGCTGTATTTGTCTATAAACTGTAAACACCTCTTCTTACTAATATCCTGTATACTGTATGAGTCTAGATTGACTGTACTGTGTGTGGCATACCTGCTCAATTGTTGTTTTATTTAGTGCAAGTAGGGAAAAAAGTTAAACTAACAAATGAAATCACCCTCCGTTAAGGCACACAATGCCACATATAACACATACACTTTTTGCACCGCACTGTAGTTTATTTTTGGAGTGGAGATGTAAATTTAGTTGGACAAATGAAACAATTAAAAACTGTTAATCAGTAAGAATGAGAATATTACTTCTGTCCTCTTTTTAGTCATGAGGCACATTTTAATGTTACAACTTAATTTTAGGGATTATTTTAACATTTGTCTGGTCTCCCAAGGTTGGCATTAAAGATTGCATCAACTAATGATGTAAGAAATTTCTTAAAATTAGTGTGGGGTAGGTTTGAACAAAACAATTTAAATACTTATTTGACAGCCTTCACATATATAACACTGACGTCTTTAAAAACTGAATGTACTTTTAATACTAAAATGTTTTTTTTGCTGCTAGAAAGGACTTGCTGTGTTGTGCTCATATGTATTTTGAACATGCTGATGTCCACTGGTGGCCTATACTGTCTCAGATGTATATGAATGTCTTTACTTTTAAAAAGGAACTGTTTCAGAGAATTTGAAATAAACAATATGCTCCACAGACATAGTATATCTGACTATATCAGACATGATATAGTCAGAAAATGTATCAAACAGTGGTCATTTAAGGACAATAAAGCAGCGCAGATTTGGGAATCAACAGCTGAAAACATTGCATTCATGAGCTTTATTGTTTTTTATTTCTTCATCGAGAACATGCTCACACCATAGCAGGAAAAGCAGGCGTAATTAATAAAATGAATGGTGGCTGAATTCCATTTAGCTTTAAGGGGCCAGGCATTGTGTATGCTGGCTCACTGGTACACTTAAATGGAACAGAGCCATTTTTAATGTTTATTACTAACACCTGTGCAATTAACACTTTCAGGTCCTGTGATATTTAGCAACACCACAGTGAAAGCTCATTTTAATTTTTGTATATAATCCCAATACATATGCAAACCTTTCCCTGTGAATTTTTCATCCAGTCTGAGTTCAGTCATCTGCTGGCAGAAATGTCTGGCAAATACAGCACATGCTCCATGAGTAAGGCTGTGCTCACACTACATTTTAAAGGTGTGAAAAAAATGCAGCCCTTGCATATTCATTTCTTTGGGGGATTGTGCTCACTGTAGATGGCACCAGCACCACAGAGTGCAAAACTATGCAACCCTATGTATGTGGGAATGTTGTTTACCTTGTTAGCATGAGCACTGCTATTTACTGTTGAATTCGGGCCACAATTAATGCACCATAACAACACGCCATGCATTTCCATTAGTATTGGATGTTAAACGGTGTTTTTATTTATCAATACCAAGGCAATGGTGACAGAATCAGTGCTAAGCTAGAGTAGGCTACGTTAGCAGAATGGCTAACCAAAATACAAGCTGGAAACATGAATGAAGCTACTAACGTCAGCTTCTCACAATGTGACTGTATCATACATGCCTACAACATTCCCCTGTAACCCCTTAGCCTCCTGACCAACGGAGCCATTTGTGTTAAAACAGATCAGTGGGAATGTATGTTCTTTTGGTCTCAGTTTCCTGTTCACAGTGGGTGACATACTGCGCACTGGGATGTGTGATCCAAAGCCAATTTAATATAACTGTTTAGATGATGTTATATCATATCAGCTCACCAAACAAATGTGACTATTGCCACACATACATTCATACGTTCATTCATGGCACCATCCGAGGCAGATGTGTTTGCACGTCCCACTCCCAAATGTCAGCTTTTTCTTTGTTTTCTTCCTTTTTGTGTGTTTTTTACTCTGTCTGCAGTGCACAAATGTCATGCACTGCTAACATACAACAGACAGGCATTGCTGGATATCGCCAACTCACACAGCCACTGGGAATTTACTGGTTTCATCCCACTGGAGCTACAACTCATTGTTCGCTCCCACAACGTAGGGTTTTTATTGCTGAAATGCTGGCCCTACTATCTAGCCAGAGAGCATAGTGCTGTGTTTTTGGCTGCTGTGTATGTTAGCCCAAGAACTCCCAGCAAACTGTCATCAGCACGATAGAGACAGTGCACCCCAACGCTATATTTATTGCTGCAGGTGACTGTAACCAGTGCAATCTATGGACTGTACTTCCCAAATATTATAACATGTGAACATTCCCACCCAGGGCAAGAACTCTCTAGATCATGTTTACAGTAACATACAGGATGCATACAGGGCTGCACCCCGCCCCCACCTTGGACGCTCAAACCATATTTCTTTGTTCCTGTATCCATCTTACAGACAAAGACTGAAACAAACAAACCTGGTCACCAAACAAATTAAACTCTGGACCCCAGAGGCTGAAGGCATCCTGCAGAACTGTTTCGCCCAGACAGACTGGGATGTGTTTAAAGCTGCAGCCACCTCAGAGGACTTTTCTGTCAGCGTACAGGACTATGCTGAGTATGTGACCGGATACATTAGTACCTGTATTGACATCATTGTGCCCACCATACAAGTCAGGAGGTTTCACAACCAGAAGCCCTGGATAAACAGTCAGGTACGCTGCGTGCTCGCTGTCATGCATTCAGATCAGACAATGAGATAGAGTACAAAGCTGCGAAGTACAGACTGAGGAAAGCCATCACAGCGGCCAAGAGGCAGTACAGAGAGAAGCTGAATGGCTTGCAGCACATCACAGACTACAGGACCACCACCAGCATCATCAGCTCCACAGACAGCCTGCCGGATCACCTCAACACCTTCTACACCTGCTTTGAGACCTCCAGTTACAGCACAGAGAGGAAGCACGCACACACCTGGACCACCCAAACCCCCACCTCTCCTCCACTAACTGTCTCACCAGGCCAGGTACGCAAAGTCCTGAGGAAGATCGACCCCCGCAAAGCAGTAGGACCAGGCAACATCCATAGAAGGGCTCTCAGGGCATGTGCCAGCGAGCTGGCTGATGTTCTCACCACCATCTTCACCATCTCCCTCAGCCAGAGCATCATTCCCAGCTGCTTTAAGACCACAGCCATCGACAACAGGCCAGTGGCACTCACCCCAAACATTATGAAGTGTTTTGAGAGAGTGATGCTAGCCCACATCCAGACAGTATACCGGACACCCTGGATCCCCTGCAGTATGCCTACGGCCCAATAGGGCCACCTCAGATGCTATCATGGCTTCCCTCCACTATTCCCTTTCTCACCACCCTCTGTGACTGGCTCCTGGACATTCTGACTGGCAGGCCCCAGACTGTCAGGATTGCCAATAGGACTTCAGCCAGCATTATTACGAACATTGGCACCGCACAGGGATATGTCCTCAGTCCCATCCTCTACACCCTGTTCACCCACGACTGTGTCGCCTCCCACAAAGACAACATCATCCTAAAGTTTGCAGACGACACCACAGTGATAGGTCGCATCACTGGCGAGGATGAAGCAGCCTACAGGAGGGAGGTGGCCGGTCTGGTGTCATGGTGTAAGGACAATAATCTCAACCTCAACACGGACAAGACGAAGGAGATGATAGTGGACATGAGGAAGGAAAGGAGATCTCATCAGCCACTGTTCATCCGGGGGCTTGAAGTGAAGTCTTGACCAGCTGCATCACTGTCTGGTATGGCAGCACTACTGCTATGGACCACAAGTGCCTGCAGAGAGTGGTAAAGACTGAGATCACCAGGACTCCACTGCCCTCTCTGCAGAGCATTTACCACCGTAGGGTGCGTAGGAAAGCTGCCTCCATCCTCAAGGACCCCACCCACCCCCAGCACAGACTGTTCATACCCCTGCCCTCTGGTCGGAGGCTCATAAGTGTGAACTGCAGGACCTCTAGACTGAAAAACTCTTTCTTTCCGACTGCCATCAGACTCCTAAACAGCTGACTCAAGATCTACCTCATGTAATTCCATCTGTACTATACTGTACTGTTAACATACTGATTTTGCACATGCATAATTGCACATTCACTGCTGAGTATTTACACTCCATGGCTCCCACGTGGCAGCATATATTCTCATAATTTCTATAAAACTATTTTATTTCTATCTGGACTTTCCAGTATTTATTTCCACCCATACAATAACAGTTGACTAATTTTTAATTGGTAAATGGTCTAATATTTGTATAGTGCTTTTCTATGCTTTACAGCACACTCAAATCGTTTTCATACTACTTGGCCAATCACCCTTTCACACTCCCAAACGCTCACACATTCACACAACGGTGTCATCAATGGGAGCAACTGGGAGTTCAGTGTCTTGCTCAAAGACACTTTAACATGTACACTGGACAAGCTAGGAATTGAACTGTTAATCCTTCGGTTAGGAGACGCTCTACCTGCTGAGACACAGCCGCTCCCAGCTGGGTTTTCTTTTTTTTTTTTTTTTTTTTTAGCTGATTGTTTATTTATTTATTAATTTAGGCATGTATTAATTTGTTGATGGCTTATTGTAATGTCAGAAACTAATGGTAATTTTATCAGTGATTTTATTAACAGAGTTGACACCAGAATTGATTTTTAAATGACATTTATACCCTGTGATGGACTGGCGACCTGTCCAGGGTGTACCCTGCCTCTCGCCCGATGTCGGCTGGGATTGGCTCCAGCCCCACCGCGACCCCGTTCGGGACTAAGCAGTATACAAAATGAGATGAGATGAGACATGACCATTTAAGATATGTGTAATTCAAGATTTTTTTGTGTATGCCCAAATTTTATGTGCAAATAAAAACTGACTGAACAGCAAAACTAAGCTGAAAGGGGCTAAAAAGCTCAACAGAGGTGCAGAGTTGGATGATCATTTTCTGCAGGGCTGATTCTTCATTGGTCAGTTTCACATGGAGCCTAATAAGGGAAATGAAGGTAGTAGTTTTGTGTTAACCATTTAATTAAAAAAAAATGTAACGAACATTATGCAACAAGTCCTTCAGTAAAAATAAATAAAAAAATCTCACCGTCTGCAGCTGCTGGCAGCAGTCCACAGCTGGCAGGGGGCTATGTCAGCAAAGAGCTCTCCGCAGTGGCTGGTCTTTCATCTTACATCTGCCTGCGTGCAGTATGGAGGTGCAAGATACCTGAGCGTGTAATATTAATTTTACCTGTGATCCTTTGAATAAATCAGCACTGTTTTGAAGTTACTTGGACTGCCTCGTCTCTCAGAGTTAGCATGGTAGCAAGAACTGGTCCCATAACAAAATGTTCCAGGATCCAGAAATAACTTATGCAAATAAAACAGGACTACACAAGGAGGTGTGGCTCCTGTTGAAAGCACACAATGCTACCTTCACATCTGGTGATGTACAGGCCTACAGCTTATCCAGGGCCAACCTGAAGAGGGGCATCAAGAAGGCCAAGCAGCACTAAAAGCTAAAGGTCGAGGAACACTTCACAAACTCTGACCTACGTTCTATGTGGAAAGGCATCCAGGTCATCAGTGACTACAAGCCTGGCAACAACCGCAGATGTCTCCTTCCTCAATGAGCTAAATGACTTTTATGCTTGCTTTGGGACAACAAGGAGACAGCTACTGTATCAAGTCCAGACCCTCCACAGACGACCAGCTACTCAC